CTGACGGCCTTTGGAAGATGAGGTCTCCAGGTTGACAACTCTCCTGAAAGCTTCAGTTGGCTTGTTGAAAAATAAGACAGAAATCTCCTTCCTTGAGTAATCTGGTCTTGTCGTAAATATGTTCAATGCAGTTTTCACCCCTGTAATGAGCCTAACATCATCACATGTCTTACTTCCCTTATGGTGAGTGACAGTCTCAGGCGGTAAGTTCTTGATCTAAGAGAACTTACACACTGCTGGCAAACACCCAGTAGGATTTGGAGCAAATAGTTTATTTGTCTGCATGCATTTTTTATTCTGCTCAGAACCTCTGTTTTCCCCAGAGGTTACAGAAAGTGAAACGCAGTATAAATCCATCCACAAAAAAAGCACAAGCCGAACTTAAGATCTGAAAACTACAGGGAAGGGAGTCGAACCTTCAGTAAAGTTCCTTGCTTCTTGTATTTCTGAAGACCCATGACTGAAAAGGAGGCGTGGACTCTAACTGTTCATGGACCTCTGCTAAAGAGGAGTATTGGAGGAACAGTAACAGGGAGGTGACAGGAAGTTCCAGTTCTTGTATGCCCCATAGGGTTGAATACCCTTTTTTTTTCTGGTAACTTGGATAAATAGGAAAGTGGGGAGGTGGGGTGAACTCTGCAGAGCTGTAGAAAATATTTCTGAGACCCATTGCCCAGTGCTTTCCATTTGGAAAGAAGAATTTGGGAACAAATGGGGCTCCTTATCCCAGTAGAGGATCACAAAGGCTTAAATGTAAGGCACTTAAGACTATTTCCCTTGATTTTTTTTAAAAAAAAAATACATAGGTAGAGCTACAGGATAGTTTAGTAGCTTAAGCTTCCCCATCACCTGGCTCATATTGAGGTCAATGCTAATGTCTTATTCTTTACATCCTCAGGATCAAACACATTGCCATTCCTTTTTTTTTGTTTTGTTTTGTTTTTGTTTGTTTGTCTGTTTTTTGTTTTGTTTTGTTTTTGTTTTTGAGACAGGGTTTCTTTGTAGCTTTGGAGCCTGTCCTGAAACTAGCTCTTGTAGACCAGGCTGGCCTCAAACTCACAGAGATCCGCCTGCCTCTGCCTCCTGAGTACTGGGATTAAAGGCGTGCGCCACCACCACCCGGCACCCTTTTCTCTTTTAAAATTTATATATTTTTAGTTTTATGTGTATGGGCATTTTGCCCCCATGTATGTCTTTATACCTGATGTGTGCCCAATGCCCAAGATGACCAGAAGAAGGTGTGGGTATGTGGGTGTGCTTTTAATTTTTGAGAAAGAATCCAACTGCAAAATCCCCGGCCAGTCTCAAATTCACAGAAAGTCTTCTCCTCAGTCTTCCAATTGTTGGGTTCTAAGTTTTGTTTTCTTATACTACTTTTTCTGATTAGAATTATCAGGATAGTTCTAGTGTCATAAAACAAGCATGAAGATGTCCTTTGACGTCATTACTTGAAAAAATTCAGAAGAAAGAGACTTCAGTTCTTTAAACCTTTAGTAGAGTTCAGCAGTGAAACCATCTGTACAAGGGACCTCCCCTCTCAGTTACTTCCTAACCCAGGCAGAATAATGTTCATAGACAGTTCACTGTCTTTTTCTTTTCTTAGTTTCCATGAGTTGTCCCAGGAGACTAGTTGTGGGGCTTTTCTCTTGGTTTGCTGAGACAATGTCTCTCTGTGTAGCCCTGGCTGTCCTGGAACTCACTCTTTAGACCAGGCTAGTCTTGAACTGAGGTCCACCTGTCTCTGCCTTCCAAGTGCTAGGATTAAAAGTGTGCACCACTACCACCCAGCAGGGGGGTTCTTCTGAACAGTGACACAGTGAGTAGTACTGGATCAGAGAAGGAAAGAGAAAAAAGAGACACATGAGAAATGTTTAGGAATCCCTGACGGTCTTGGGAAGCATACACAAGGAGAGATGACCTAACATTAACACAAACTGAGAAGTCAGAAGACTGGCTGGAATACGTGTAGTGGGCTTAGAGGGTTAGGAAGCAGTGGGGCACTGAGTCAAGATTAGGACAGGCTGAGTATCCCTCGTTTATGAGGTATATACCAGATGTACAGATAGAAGCTCACTTCAATTTAGGAGGTATTTCAGATCAGACCTAATTTGGTAGATATTCTGTGCATTTTAAGTAAATAGGAAGACATTGGGGGAAAACTAAGCCAAAACTCAAATTCAGGAGCTGAGGGGAACTCTTACTGGGGAGCCTCTGTGCTTGGCTACTGTGTTCTGCTACCCAATGTGGGATGAAGAAGGATGCAGGGACTATACAGAGAGACCCATAGAAGACAGAGGAGTAGTGTTTCCAGGAAGGACTCCCCTTTGCTGTGAGAGGCTGTTGGGAAGTGATGTGTTTTAGAGCCACAGATGCCTTCTTAGAACAGTCAGAGCTCCCTCCGTGTGAGTGTGAAGGGGGACAGGGTAGAGGCAGGAGGGAACTGCGGTAAATCTCTAGCGAGGAAGGAATGTCAGTTGTGCCGATGGACACAGGCTTGTTCTGATTTGGGAATGTCAAGCTATCCCTACCGCTGTTAAAGAAAGGGATCCTGGATCCCTACAGCTCTGGAGAGAAAGGTACCTGATTGTCAGGAAGGCAGGCGATACCTAGAGTCATGTTCTGGTGGGGAACGGTCTTCCACCAGGATGTGGCCATCCTGCTCCTCTCTGAGAGAGCGCTGTTACCGCTGAGCTCTGCTCTACTCTGCTAAGAGAGTTTCCCTTGAGAGATGCCCATTGCTTCTCTGTTCTGACCCAGATTATTGCTTCTCTGCTTCACTCTGCTAAGAGGGACCCCTGCAGAAATGCAGCAATCTGCTCCTTCTCTGGAGAAAGCTGTTTCTTCTCTGCTCTGCTCTGCTCTGCTCTGCTCCACTCCACTCAGGGAGTTTCCTGAGGGGAAGAGATGTCTGTTGCTTCTCAGCTCCGCTCCACTGAAAGGTCTTCACCCAAAACTCACTCAAGAGATCTACTGGGAGGGAGGAATCCAGAAGACTGGCCGCCTCTGCCAGGGTGAAAGGGCAGCTGGCAACTGAACAGTCACAGGGCTTATGTGAGGCTTCTTAGGGGTAGAGTTTTTCCAGCGAGAAGATTTTCAGGGTAGGAATTTGTTGGATTTTAATCCCTGAGTTTGGATAAACTCAGAGATTGGCTGGCTTTTTGCGCTCAGAGATTGGTTGGTTGCATGCTCAGTTGATCAGGCCCAAAGTGTGTTTCTTTCACTGGCTCTGGTTTCAGGGTCAGGGTGTATTTCTTTGGCTGGCTCCTTTACCTACAGAGACATCTGCTAAAGTTGTTATATCACCTTCAAAATCCTTTGAGTAGGGGGCTGAAGAGTTGGCTCAGAGTTTAAGAGCACTGGTTGCTCTTCCAGAGGTCCTGAGTTCAATTCCCAGCAACCACATGATGGCTCGCAACTATCTGTAATGATATCTTGTGCCATATTCTGACCTGCAGGGAAACATGCAGGCAGAACACTGCATACATAATAAATAGATTTAAAAAATAATATTTAAAAAAATAACTCCCCCCCCAAATCCTTTGAGTTGTGTTTGCTTCTTTCTAGGACGTATGGCAATACTTGTAGGTAATTTGCATGTGACCCATTGGAGAACCACAGTTATGGCCTCTGGTGGTTTGAAAGAAAATAACCCCCAAAGAGAGTGACACTATTAGGAGGTGTGGCCTTGTTGGAGGAAGTGTGCCACCGTGTGGAGGCAGGCTTTAAGGTTTCCTATATGTTGAAGCCACATCCAGTTCGCAGACCTCTTCCTGTTGCCTGAATATCAAGACGTAGGACTCTCAGCTACTTCTCCAGCACTATGTCTGCCTGCACGCCACCATGTTGAACCAGGACGATAATGGGCTAAACCCCTGAAAGCGGAAGCACACCCAAATTGAATGTTTTTCCTTTATAAGAGTTGCCGTGGTCTTATAATATATATATGGTGTTTCTTCACAGCAACAGAAACCCTAACTAAGACAGCCTCTGTTCAGCAAAAAATAACGGTTGGAAGACATGGGGTCAGAAGCATATGCAAGGCCCGGGCACCAGGGAAGGTACAACATGGTAGATCATTTTCTGAGAAGTCCTGAAGGAGGTGAGGAAAGATGCTGGCCCATGTATGTCAATAGGTTCATGGACAGTGGAGGAAGAGAGGGATAATCTTCACGGACAGTTAGAGGTGAGACGACATGTCAAGAGCAAGGGAAATGGACTTCTATTTGGGGTTGGACCGAGTAATGAAGCCAGTCAGGCTGTTTCAGCATCAGGCAACGGGGAGGCCAAGGCTCCTGTACAAGGGCTGGAGCTGGTGTGGTCTTTATAGATTAAATGTCTAACCTGCTCCTGAAACCCATCCAGTTGGTTATATTTCCCACTTATTATGGACATGGAAATCATCAGGGTGGTTGTTCTGGCTGGTTTTGCGTGTCCACTTGACACAAGCTAGAGTCATCAGAGGAAGGAGCCTCAGCTGAGGAAATGCCTCCGTGAGATCCAGCTGTAGGGCCTTTTCTCAATTAGTAATCAATGGGGGAGGGCTCCACCCATGGTGGGTGGTGCCATCCCTAGGTTGGTGGTCCTGGGTTCTATAAGAAAGCAGGCCGAGCAAACAATATAAAGCAAGCTACTGGACAGAATCCTTCCATGTCTACTGAATCAGCTCCTGCCTCTAGAATTTTGCCCTGTTTGAGTTCCTGTCCTGACTTCCTTCAGTGATGAACGGCAATGTGAATGTGTAAACCAAATAAACCCTTTCCTTCCCATCTTGCTTTTTGGTTATGGTGTTTCGTTGCAGCAATAGGAACCCTAACTAAGACAGTGGCTTAGGTCTACGACTACTTATACCTGAAAACTATGAGGTCATTTCATTTACTGTGTTATAAAGCAAAACTGGCATGTAAAGACAGAACACTTGTCTGGGAGGAGAAAGATGGATTGCAGGCATCCCTGAATGATCCATGTTCCTTAATTCCATTTCAAATAATTCAGGATTGAGAGAAAACTTTTATGCTTTATTTTTCAGAGTGAAAATGCCCACATTTCTTTTGCTCCAAATTAAAATATGCTTATTCGAAGCTTTGTGAAGATAATGAACCATTAAATTGAAAATTTATTCTTCGGGTTGGTAGATTCTGATAATATGGCCATCCTTTCTGACTGAAGAATCGCTTCACTTCAGCATCGCGTTTCTTAGGAAACACCCAAGGCTGGCCCACCTAGGGCACAGTGTGCTCCGCCACCATGACCCATGCAGGCGGTTACTGTTTCTTTCACAAGGAATTGTCACATCTTCATGACCTGTGACTTTCAGTCCTGGCACGGCGCTACGTGAAGTGTTCAGACGGGCGGAAGGGTTAGTTGGGAAAGACTTGAATGCCTTGTCTTTGGAGGGGGAACAGGGTATTAACTCATGCAAAACAAAAAGTGTCGCCATTTGTTCTCTGTGTGTCTGAGCTGCAGGCAGAGCAGAGGCTGGTGCATGCCCTGCCCTTGAGAACACGCTACTGTTACTGTGAGTGTGAGCGGACAGTCTTTCTAAGGCTGTCCTACCCCCCCCCCCACCTTTTATTCCGAACAGGTATTACTACAGGCGGTTGCAGTTACACTGTGAGTCTCTAGCTCTCCGAAGAGGGAGAAATTGTGGCTACAACAGTCAGAGAACCACTCTAGCAGAGGACATCCTACCTCTAGATTTCCGGGGCTGGATGCAGTCCGTGAGTTATTTTCTGGATTTATTAATAATAAATATGTTTGAAGCCACCTATGCCTCCACTGCTTTCTCAGCTAAGGACTTCAGCAAATCCTTGTAGACTGTGGAGTTCATGAAGCGGGGGTAGGAGTCCCTGTGCATGAGGGTGTAAATCTGAAGCTGGGCGTCATCAAATATGTGCTGGGAGGGATCCACCATGTTTTTGTTGATGCCTTCCCGCACTCGGGAGTCCAAGCTGACCTGTGGGCAGAAGCAGAGCTGGATTTGTTACTTCTCTTGTAAAACCAGACAAACGCCATAATTCTTTTATCTTCCGAAAGACCCCCAAACCAAACAAGATCCCCCAAAGTCTGAACTGCTGAGAGAAACTAACAGGTGAAGGAAGGGGACTCTGGGACTTCTGTGGCCTCAGTGGTCCCAGCAGGAGTGGTCCCAGTGACCCCTGAAGGTCGGTGGGGCAGACTGCTGCACCAATGCCAGAGGACTCAGTAGGTCATACTGAGGGGTCATGCTCTGCATTTCTCACAAGTCAGAAGGAACGCTGACTGCTTTAGAATATCACACACTGCTTTGCTTCTTCTAAACAAGTGTGAGATGGCCTTTGATGATAGAGGGTGGTGAGCATGGACTCATCCCTGTTAATGAAGGCAAAAACTTGGGAACTGCAGGAGCCCAATCAGCTAGAAACTGGGTGTAGGTTTCTGGTGTCGGTCCAGGCTAAAGGGAAGGGGTCTGTAAAGTGAAGGGCTCCAATCACAGGGCATCCGGGTTTCCATCTGAAGGGACGCTAGCCCACTTGAACAGGTGGCTCTGTGCTGTGGGACAATGGTCTTACCCTGTAAAGATTTGTTTCTTGTACTTGTTTAATAAAATGCTGATTGGCCAGTAACCAGGCAGGAAGTATAGGTGGGGCAATGAGAACAGAAGAATTCTGGGAAGAGGATTCTGCTGTCTGCAGTCATGACCCAGTAGCAGAAGAAGCAAGATGTGACTGCCTTGCCAAAAAGGTTACCAAGCCATGTGGCTAACTCAGACAAGAATTATGGGCTAATGTAAGTTATAAGAATTAGTAAATAAGAAGCCTGAGCTAATGGGCCAATCGGTTTATAACTAATGTAGACCTCTGTGTGATTCTTTGGGACTTAATGGCTTCAGGATAGAAAACTTCAGTCAACAGCTCTGGCAAGACTTGTTCTTCTCCCCCATTCTGTCCGCCTTGATAAAACCTGTTAGATTACATTCTGGAAGCTATCCCCCAAGGTCCATTCCCTTATTTGGCCACTCCCTCCTCCTGAGGCTGACTACAAGGTTCAGTCACCAAGTATTAAAGTCCAGCAATCAAAAACCCCCTTGGGGGCTGGAGAGATGGCTCAGTGGTTAAGAGCATTGCCTGCTCTTCCAAAGGCCCTGAGTTCAATTCCCAGCAACCACATGGTGGCTCACAACCATCTGTAATGAGGTTTGGTGCCCTCTTCTGGCCTGCAGATATACACACAGACAGAATATTATATACATAATAAATAAATATTTTTTAAAAAACAACCCTTGGCTCACCTATTATTCTCCATGCCCAATTAAATACTTTATCCTAACACGGGATTTTTCCCTTGTATGTTTATAAACTGCCATTTTCCTATGGGCCATATCTGTCTCCTCTCTATTTAAAGGCAGTCCTTTGTCCTCTAGGACAGATACCCCTCTCTGCTTCCCTTTGTTCCCTTCCCCTTCTCCCTCTGTCTCCTGTCTGTGTCCCTTATCCCTGCCCTCTGTCCCTCTGGGGCAAATAAATCTTTGTTCTGCTGACCCCTTCACTGTCCTCGCTGCCACTGCTGTCTCTATAGTAAGCTAAGTGGGAATTCCTATTGATGAACTCTTTTTGGAAAGTCAAATGTTGGTTGTTTCTAGGCTTGTTGGTTTATAAGGTTTGTTTGGTTGGTTTTCCGAGACTGGGTTTCTCTGTGTAACAGCCTTGGCTGTCTTGGAACTTGCTCTGTAGACCCAAATGTCCTTGAACTACAAAGATCCTTGCCTCTGACTCCTGAGTGAGCCACTACCACCTGGCTGTTTATAAGTATTTTTATTAGAATATAAAATATTCTATATTGAATACTAGCAAGCTCTTTCACTAGAACCATCCATTCTCCCAGTTTAGCGCCCCATGTATCTCTTCTTTTCTTTCTCTTTCTACCTGCCCACCCATTCCTTCGATCTCTATTTCTTTCTTTCCCTCTCCCTCTTTCCTCCTTTCTGAACAATCTCACTATATAACATTGACCTTGGTGTTCAGATTACAGGTGTTTATAGGGTATGGTGTTTTTAAACAACAGGAAGACTGGAGAGTACTTATCCAGCATGTGGGAGGCCCTGAGCTGTGTTCCAAGCCACAGGACAGAAAAGGCAAGGTCCGTGTGGGGGCCAAAGCTGCTATGAATCATGGGCACTTAAAAAAAAAACCTAGAAAATGCTTTACACATTTTTCAGGGTCCTCAGGATCTGAAAGCTATGATTGGGAGGAGCCTAGGGCTGTGCTTTGAACTATCTCTACGTGTGCAAGCAGCGTGTGACCAAACACAGAAGCAGGCAACTTAGCAATGACTTTAAGGAGACATTTTTGCAGACACACACCTCTTTAGGAGACAGGACAGAAATGTAGTCTTCGTAGATTATCTTGGCTTTCTCCTCGATAGTGCTTTGATTCGCTTCCCTCTTCAGTTCTTCACAGGCCATCCAGAAAAGCATGTTTTCTTCGCTGAACTCCGTCCGGAGGAACTCCCGGAATGCGTTTCTTCCAGCCGGAGTGACCATTAGGTTATCGAAGGACTGGGCCCAGGCACAGACTTCTTCCAGAGTTGGGGTGGGGCTGAGCAGTGGTCCAGAGGAAGAAAAGGAAGATGTTACTGCTGGGGAATCCAGTTTTCGTCGCAAAGTTACAACATACTGCTATAAGACACACAAACCTTTGGCCCTTCCAGAAAGGGGAGAGCACCCCTCTCATTTCCTTAAGCCTTTAGCTAAAACACAAGCCGGATTTGTATTTGCTGGAGTGTGTTGTAGCTTCATTTTTTTTTCTTTTTTGGTTTTATAAGACTGAGTTTCTCTGTGTAACAGCCCTGGCTATTCAGGAACTCGCTCTGTAGACCAGGCCTGCCTCTGCTGGAATCAAAGGCATGAGTCTTCATGCCCTGAGCGTTCTTGTGCAACCTTACAGCCATGCTTTGTTTATGGTTGACAATACTTTTAAATTACACAAGTGAAGAAAAATCCTGCAGCTGCTTGACCCCAAACCTCTCAATTATCTCAGACAGAGCTAAGTCATACTACACACCGGCTCAACAGAACATCAGTGGGCAATGCCCACTGGATGCTTTTTAAGATCCATATGCCATTTGAGAAAAAGAAAACAACATACATGATACGTTCCCAAGTTAGGAGGAGTGGTGCCGTGATTCCCCACGGCCACTGTATCTGTCCTGAGTTCCCAAGGGATGGCACCCGGGCTCTGACGTGACCTTTGCATAACTTAATTTCCAGACAAACCTGGCAGACCAGGAAGGCTTGCCCTGCTGAGAACTGCTTAGGTAAGGGTTCCTGCAGACAACTCCTAGATCAGATAAGAGGTCTTACCTTGCTGAAACTGATGCGCTAAACGTGTCTTTGACCTAACAATAAAAAGACTTTTGCAAAGTCATGAGGCAGTCAGTTCATTAGAAGCTGACTCCCCAGTTGCTGCTAAAGTGTAAAACATTCTGGAGTGACGCAAGGAACACAGACCACAGACAAGACAGTGACAAAATAATTGGCTAGGAAGATGCCCTTGTCCTTCAGAGCCAGCCATGATTGGGTAAGAAAGGCTATTCATCCCAAGAGGCCTGCTGGGCTTCACTTCTCGTTACCATCTCTGAGGGGTTTTTGTTTTTTGTTTCTGTTGGTTTGTTTCTTGTTTTGTTTTATTTATTGTTGTTAGTCTTTTTTTGTTTTTCGAGACAGGGTTTCTCTGTGTAGCCCTGGCTATCCTGGATCTCTGTAAATCAGGCTGGCTTCAAACTCACAGAAATCTGCCTGCCTCTGCCTCTGCCTCTGGAGTGCTGGTGTTAAAGGTGTATGCCACAACTGTCCTTGAGTTTAACTGCACTGACATCAGAAAAGGCCTACTTAACAGTGACCCTTTATATCTCCTTTCTTTTGCCTCTTCACAGCTCCATATCGTTATGTTTCATTGAAAAATGTATTCTAGGAGCTGAAGAGATGGCTCAGAGGTTAAGAGCATTGCCTGCTCTTCCAAAGGTCCTGAGTTCAATTCCCAGCAACCACATGGTGGCTCACAACCATCTGTAATGAGATCTGGTGCCCTCTTCTGGCATGCAGGTATACATGGAGGCAGAACACTGTATATATAATAAATAAATCTTTAAAAAATGTATTCTGTAGCTTTTAAAATTTTTATAAGATGGCAAATACATTGTCCTCTGTGACTTGCTTTCAAGTCTCTGAGATTTACCCTCACTGCCTTATGAGTAGGATTCTCATCTTACTTCCTGTTTTTAAGCGGATTTTGGCATCACTGGTAATAATAAGAGCCTCTCAGATATCATATAGAAGAGGAATGATCCACTCCTGATCATCTTGTGGAAGTGGCCTAGTATTAAGCCATCTGGCTGCAATGTTGACTCCGGATACAATGTTGCTGGTTGGATTGTGTCACCCAAAAGCAGTCCAAATGCCCGGAATCTCAGAATATGGCTTTATTCAGAAGTGGGTCCTTGGACTGGAGAGATGGAACTTAACTCAGCAGTGAAGAGAACTGGTTTCTCTTTCAGAAGACCTAGGTTCAATTCCCTCCTAACACCTACTTGGTGGCCTGTTGGGGCCCTAAGCACTCTTGTGGTACACCGATACACATGCAGGCAAGACATCTACCTATACATCTCAAAATAAATAAATTATTACAAAGAAAAAAATGGCTCCTTGTAGACTTAACTTAAAATGAGGTCACTAGTCGAGGGGTCATCTGGAATGAAACTGAAACTCTTATTAACAGAGGAAATTTGATATAGACGTGAGAAAAGAGAGCAGCTCTGGAAACACATGGAGAATGTGGTCATGTGACTGGAGCAATGTGTGTAGTGGCCAGTGGACCCCAGAGGTGCAGGCAGCTGACCAATGCCAGAGGAGACAGGAAGGGAGTCTGCTCCAGGGCCTGGAGAATCAATACAGAGAAATCTCTGCTGACACTCGATCTTGGATTTCTGGTCTTGGAACCGTGACATAAAAGATTTTTGATGTTTTAAGCTACCCAGGTTTAAATACTTTTTAATGGCAAATAAATTTAGAAAGTTATCACAGTTTAACAGTCTGAAACTATTTGGACCCTTTCCTTATGTCTAAGTTTCTGGACTGTATGTTAATATCTCTTTTTCTGTATGGAAGTGGGACTTCACTCACTAATGATTAATCCCAGCACTTGAGAGACAGAGGGAGGCAGATCTCTGTGAGTCTGAAATTGCTCTAGTGTATATACTGAGTTCTAAGACAGCTAGGGCTTACTTAAAGAGACCCTGTTCCTGGCTCCCCCACCAAAAAAAAAAAAAAAAAAAAAAAGGAGTAACTAAATAAAAACCTAAGTATTGAGATTTACGTTTGCTCTGTTTATTGTATTCTCGGCATTTCATACTTTGATATGATTACATTTTCATATAGTTATGTTATTTCTTAAAATGTATTATGATTTATTTGTTGAGGATGTAATGAATTGAAAGTGATCCTAGAAATACCAAACAGAATAGGATTTTACTGTATATGTTTTTAAAACTCTGGGCTTTTATTTTAATTGCTTTGGGGCTAGTAGTACAGTCTGCTGAATAATGATCCTAGTAATATATCCAGACAGTTTATAAAAGCCAGGCCTGGATGGTGGTGCACACCTCTAATTCCGGTACTCCGGTTGCTATGGAAGGAAGACTGTACGTTTGAGGCCAGTCTGCTCTATGTAATGAGTCCCATCTCTGAACAAAACTTTTTAAAAGGGCAGTGACCGCAGCTAAGTGGTAGAACACCGCTTAGCATGCGCAAGGCCCTGGGTTTGATCCCTGGCACTGTCCCAAACCCAAACAATACAAACGAAAATCAATCAATCAATCAATCAAACAAACAAACAAAAACCCACAAAAGCAAAACCAATCTTTATGAGAAAAAGCATATTCAACTGTTATATTTTCTGTATGCTTGAGAAATTTTTTCAGAAGCCAAAAGTAGCTTTTACAGAAGCAGTGCTTTAGCATAAACTGTAGCTACTTAGTTTGTCTAATTCTTCATCCCTTAGGGATAGCCATGTGGTGGCAGGTCTGTAATCTACTCTAGAAACTTTTGTTTACATTGGGAACTACAATGTATACTTGGTAACTATTACATTAGTTAGATGTGAGTCCTTTCACCCTTAGCAAGCTAAACTCTTGCATTTTAGTAGTGATCCTCTCTGCGGCTCTCTTCAACCCGTTTTGTTTGATGTGAGTGGCAGGAAGCAGCACAGAACAGAAGGGGGAGGCAGACTCTGGTCAGACTGTCTGAGTTTACAAGGAAGCGACACTATTCTCCAAGACCATACTAGCCCTGATAAGGCACAGGTCACCATCTATGCTAATCAAGGAAAGGGGAGTCTTCCAGGTCGGTGCTGTGGTTGAGCTCACACTCACCCTGCTAGGGGCAGGCAGACACTGTGGAGGAACTCACACTTACTTCCTTTGCCAGCT